CCCCTTAATGGTGCCACATTTGTACGGAAAATTCATTTAGGGTTTAGCAGCATTTTAGCAAGTTTTTTACTCTGTAAAAATGATTTGGGCTTTATAGATAATTGGGAAACTTTCTGAAGAAAACCTGGTCTTGTTAGGAGACATTGCAACTATCCCAACTATAGTGGACGGATACTGGATGGAGCAGCTGTCATTTCTAGAAATCTGGCCACATTTATTAAAGCCCCAAAACTTTAAAAAACTGCTAAAAAGTTAGAGCATCCCACTATTCATCACTGAATCGACACCATTGATATTTATTTAGATTCTTTTTCTCTAATCGATCTTTCTGAGTTAACTTCAGTAATTATTTCCTCCAAACCATCATGTCTTTTAGACCCCATTCCTACCAGACAGCTCATTGAAGTCCTGCCATTAGTTAATGCTTCAATCTTAAATATTATCAGTCTATCTCTTTTAATCCTGAAAAAGTTTATTCTGTTCATCTGGACGTAGCATGTTCAGTTGGAGAAATGTTTTGTCAGTCATTCAAATGACTTCTTCCCACATAGCAAGCAGGTCTGGCCCGGATCTGGTATCAAGCCGGCACTGCTGGCTGACTTCTGGCATGATAAGACGTATGTCATCCAGATATGGGCCAGGCCTGGCATAGGTGGCACTGTCTATGTGATGGCATGCCACATCTGGCCCGATTATGGTTTGGTTTATGTGGCCCAGGCCCATAGAAAACAGGTCTGGCTGGGATCCGGCATCAAGCTGGCACTTCTGACTGACCGGTGTCATGGCAGAGTGTATGTCAACCAGATGTGGGCCAGGTCTAGCAATGATGCACTATTTATGTTCCTTTTTTCCTATTTTAGTTAGAAGACCCAAATGCCATGTTGCAATACTATACTGCTATGGTAGCCAATGTTTCAAATGCAGGTTTTGACAGGTTTGTGAGTGTACACTTTATCCAAATCTAGTGAGGGTTTACTCACCTTTGCCAGTGGGTGGCTGTAGCTCAGGCGGTAGAGCAGGTCACCTATTGATCGGAAGGTTAGTGGTTCGATCCTTGGCTCCTCCAATCTGCATGGCATGAATGTGTATGAATGTAGTTAGGAAGCACTCAGTTAAGAGAAAGTGTGGGATTTGGTGAATGTGGCATGATGTATAAAGCACTTTGAGTAATCTGGTAGAGTTGAAAAACGCTATATAAGAATCAGTCCAGTCACTGGCTGAACAGAGTTTGGTCATGTTCCTTTTTTACTACTATGCACATGTTATTATTACATGGTTTAATTAAGGTACACATTAGGCTGACATCTGGGGCCAGAGCTGAAACTGTTCTGGGCCAGCATTGTGTCTGCAGCTGGCCCGTGGCTGCACACAACTTACACATGGCCCACATACCGGAAAGAATGACGACACTTTGATGGCCCAGACCAGGTTTGCCAGAGGTAATCCACACATGGGCCAGCAAAGGACCACCAGTGTGTCTGCAACTGGCCTTGTGCTGGCCAATGTGTGGGCCACCTTTGGCTAACCAGATCTGGGCCACCAATGGGCCATCATTCTTTCCGGTATGTGGGCCATGTGTAAGCACACTGTGTGGGCCAGATCTGGGCCATACCAATTTTGCTATGTGGGTTCAGTCTCAGCTGACTGCAGGTTTCTCCAACCTTTAAAACAGTACATTTGCACATTGACTGGAACTAGCATTCCTGATGAACAATGGGCTGTGAGGTCAGTTCCTTCATTAATATGCAAATTGTTATGGCCACTGATCAACAACCAGTACTCAAATATCATTAATCAACGACAATGATCAATGACCATGAGTACCAGAGTTGGGGAATGGCTGCTATCACAGCATTGTAAGATTGTGAAAGATGTATTCTTAGGCCCTCTCCTCGATTCATAGACATTTTTTCCCTTTTCATGTAAATGGCCTCCTTGACCCTCCCCAAACCAGCAGGATGTGTACATTCTCATCACTGAAAGAGTGGCCACTGGCCTGTAGGTTTGAATATGCTGTGTCCTTGCCTCACAAGTTAGCTCTTCTATGTTCTGCCATCCGCTTAGCCAGAGGTTGTTTGTCTTCCCTGATAACTATATCATGGCAATCGTCCTGGCACTTAACACTGTACACTATATTGTTCTGTTTGTGCCAGGGGATGGGTTCCATGCAGTTGTCCAATTTTTTGGCACAGTGTGTTTTGGGGTTTAAAAGCCACAGAGATACTGTGTTTAGATACAATGCGTCTCAATTGTTCCCATACTCCTGACACATAAGGGACCAGTAAGGGTTTTCGCTTAGGCTGTCATGGTCCTGGGTCTGGTGACAATATGAATATTCCAATGTCATTCATGGTTTTTGTTCTCTTTATGGGTTTTGTGCTTATCTATAGTTTATAGTCTTTAGGGTGATCATGCAGGCTCTCCGCCAAGCTTGGTTTTCTGTTCTTTGTTTGTGATTAAAGAATGTTAGCTACCACTCACCATTCAATTCAATTCAATTCAATTTTATTTATATAGCGCCAAATCACAACAAAAGTCGCCTCAAGGCGCTTCATAGATACAGAGAAAAACCCAA